AGGGGCCGCACTCCTCTGTTGGCTGGGGGAGCTGAGGCCGTCAGGGCCCCAAGAAGGCGGGGACTTGGCCTGTGCCCTTCTCCTTGCACCAGTAGCATATGCAGCAGAGGCCCCCAAAGTATTTTTTGAATGAATGAATGAATGAATGAATGAATGGGTACATAGATAGGTAGAACATTGTGCAACTATAAGTAAAATAAGCTCTAAATAATGATATAGAGTCAGTAGTTCTTATATTGTGAACAATAAGCCTGCCTTCAGCGGGAATCATACAAAGGTCCATGTTCAGCCTCGGAAGAAAAGTGTCTGTTTCTCAAGGAAAAATAAAAAGCAGTGCATCCCCTGGAGAGCAGGAACTGAAACTCGAGCACTGATACAAAGGGAACGTTGTAATTCAGAGGACAAAAAATAAGTATATTTAAGTGGGGGCTGTTCCGGTTCATATTGTTTTGTCCTTTCCATGGGGGGAAAGAGTAAAACCCCTGCTTGCTTGTTAGAAGAGGAAGGCTCGCACTTGACGCTCCCACCAGGCAGATGTCGGTGGAGAGCCCTGCTTACGGAAGATGCCGCCGTGTCAAGGCCTGTTTGGTGATTGTAGAGGGACGTGTCATGTGCGACATGGAAGTAGGGCATGCAGCACATTAGTGATTTCCCAAGTGCTCGGATCAGGTCGCGGTGTGCGGGGAGTGCCCCTTACCCATCCACGCACTGTACTTGCGGAACAGTGGGAAGTGCTTTGGTGGAAATTACTTCAGTCAGAGAAAGAATCCATTTACAATGTGCGCCTTCTGACATCTTCCAGACGATGCATTGTATTAAAGAGGCATTTTTTGATTAATGTTTTATAAACATTTTTCAGTGTGACAGCTTAAAGTCCCTGTAAGATTGTAAATGTATGCCTGGTGTTCACTTCCATAAAGTCAGATGCCACCTCATAAAGTCTCGTCGGATGCTGTCAGCTGTGGTGACACAGAATCGGTACCTGGGAACATTAAAATTAATTTCCTTCATTTGTATTACTGCAGCAATAGCGAGATGAAAAGAGTCCTATATTTAAATTTTACTCTTAAAAGAAAACTCTTTCTAGTGAGTTTGTTTGGTTTTTTTAAATCACTGCGCTTTTTTTTCTAGTTAATGAATGTAATGAAGATGGACTCATAGTCAGCACAGTAACTTTATGATGGGATCTGGAAGAATACAAGCCTGTTCATTCAACACACTCCTTTTGAGCACCTACTAGATGCTCGGTGATGAAGAAGAAATAGTAGGAGTGATGAGACAGAGAGGGAGTGGGAGCCAGGTCAGGAAGGTCCTCGTCACACCTGGTAAACTCCTGCCCAATTTGACATAATCAGATTGCACTCAACAGTGGTCCCTGTGTCACAAGAGTGGAAGGTAGTTGGACGGGACAGCCTGTTTGGAGGTGGTGTGGGAAGTGCAGTGGAGAGCTGACTGTGCCCTGCAGGAAGGCTATAGGGAGGGAGAGGAGTGGTCCCATGGGTGCCCAATAAGTTAGTTAAATGTCACATCCCACCTCTGGCATGCCTACGCCCCTCACAGAGTAGTTCATCAGTTATAGGAGAGCTCGATGAATGAATGAATGAATGAATGAATGATGAAGTGAATTATTAAACGAGTTAGGAGAGAATGGAGGGGTGGTGCGTTCGTTACATAGGTTTCTAGAGTCAGAGCTACAGCTGATTTTCTCTGATTTGACTTGAAGATTAAATTTTGCCAAATTAGTGACCAGGTGTCAGAAATCATAGTACTGTGAGTGCAGTGGTTCTTGCAGGTTCCCCACCTCTCCACTGTCATCCCGATAGTCCTGGACATGTGGCAAAGATGCCACAGAACAGGGAGGTTAAGCTCACAGCTTCCGGAGGATTGCCTTGCCATAGCTGGGGACGAGGGGAGTGTGGGGGAGACACTGAAGGAAAGCAAAGATTGACATAAATAGGAGATTGAGAAGAATCACTAATATTTGAAATGAAAAGTAGCTAATCGAATGATTGAAAAGTAAGGTAGATTTTAAGACTGAGGAAAAATAAAGGTTCCCCAAACAAGTAACATGTGACTAGAATCTCTGGAGTCCCTCCTCCCCCCAGCCAAGTGATTGACTTGACCTGTGAATCCGTCATGTGACAATGACAAAGCGAGGACACGTCAAAGGGAAGTGGGTCCCAGTTTCTGGAAAGCTGAAGTGGTTTCTTTCCTCTGATTTATTATTTTCAGTCATATTTTTACCATTAGTCACTTGGAGTGGTGGTGGTAAGAAATCTGATTAACGAGTAAGGAGGAGGCGCATACAGCGGCGGGGAGCAATCTCTGTTTAATTCGGCAGACACCTGCAGCAGCCGCAGGTCATCACGCACCCCTCTCTCTTTCAAGCACGACTGGAATACAAGGCCGAGTGAGAAGAGGGCTGGGTTACCAGGGTCAGTCGGAAAAACTGAAACCACTCCTCAGTAGGGGAGGATCGAACAGTGCTGGAGCACTGAAGGGGGGCTGGGGACAGTGAGGAAATGGAGGAGTAATAGCTGTGGGAAGTAGCTGGAGCAGGGGAGCTGAAGGAAGAAGTTGGGGTTCTCCTAACAAGAGGCTTGGAGGAGGCGGGGGCTCCGACCTCCGAGGGGCACAGTGAGCTATCACTGGAGCTGACTGCTGCCCCCTGAGGTGCTGCTGCGGAGGGAACCCGCGCCCGCTGCCTCCTCCAGCCCTCCTCTAGTGCCCCTGGGCAGAACCGGCGGGGAGCTGGCTGAGAGGAGAGGGGTGGTTGCAGGCCCGCCTGCCTGGGACAGTGTGCAGAGGGTGTTTGAACATGAGACGCCAGAGCTGGAGAGACCTTCCTCCTGACCAGGATTCGGGTCTACGGAAGTTAGTCACTGTACTTGGGAAGCTTTCTCAGGGTAAGGGCTTGGCTGTTCCTCAGTCTCTCTCCCCGGCCACCGTCGGGCTGATCTCAGTAGCTGCTTAGCTCTTCCCCATAGGAAGTCACAGGAACACCCTCCAAGGAGGAGGAGCCCACAGGGACTTGGGCCCTCTTCTGCTTCGCGGGCCTGCAGTCCCCGTGGCGTCTGAGCTGAAACCCAGGCAGCTCACCTGACCCAGAGAATGAGAAATCCAGGTTGCCTGCACGGCAGCTCTGACTTCCCCACCTGGGAAAGCTCCCGTTTCCGCCTGAGTAAACGGTGCACACCGTGGTTTCACCAGCCTCCGGGGTCATCGCCAGGCTGAGTGCAGTTAATGTGGGGAACCATGTGACAGACACCGCGCGGAGTCGAGTGAGCACTCAGCACCCAGGAGCCAGTATTACTGCTATCACTGCGGTCTCTGTGATAACACATCACATCCAGGTGGGCTTCTGAGGTCCGGGCAGCAGGACACGTTGTACGTCTTGCAGTGGGTTTCTCATTGACTTATGGTCGCAGCAGCCCTGTGACTGCCTCCCTGGCTTCCCTTCTGTGCCCATGTCAGCTGAATGACACTGAGCCCGAGTCTTAGCCAAGGAAGGACACCTCAGGTGTTTTAGCCCAGCAGCCACAGTCCTCGAATTTTGGGTCCAAAAACCCCTGCTCTGATCATTTTTAGGGACAAATATCCCCATGATTCTATCACTTGCTCCCTGTGGCCCCGCTTTTCCTTCACCCCCACCCCCAGCTCCTCAGCAGCATCCCTTTGCGCCAAGGAACCTTCCCCGGAAACAGGAGGAGTGTGTACACGTCTCCTTTTCTCATCATAACAGCTTTCCAGGACTAGCATGTCAGATGCTACTTTTCCACTATAAATGGCTTAGGTGTATTATTTGTTAAGAGAAAGCTCCTTTGCTTTTTATATCGGTGAGAAGACAGAGACTGCAAAAATCTCAGCGTGTGCTTTTGAAGCTCTGCGAGACGCTGCTGGAAGAGTGAAGTGCTTTCTGTTTATGGCAATGATGTATGAGGCTATGAAAGAGAAAGCAGCCATTGCAATACATTTTTGCATAAAGGTTTGGAATTTATTAGAAGATACAAATAACTGAAAAAGCAGAGCTTTCCCTCACTGGGTTATAATAGAAAATTATTGATGCTTCATTATTGTGCATGTCTGGGGGCTTGGGTCCTTTTCAGAGGCTGTTCTCAAAGAAACAGGGAAAAAGCTAAGCTGTTAAAGCTATTCAGCTGACAAAACTAACACACATACACACCAGTTCCTACAACTGGGCCGAATTAAAACAATTGGTAATAACAGTTACACTGCCAGTGTCCTATTGTGTTATCGAAGCTTAATAGATACACACTATAGTCAGCTGCTTACAAAATATGCACACCTTGCCCTTGGTGTAATGGAGTGTGGACTCGGAAAGTAATAGGCATTTACCTGAATTCCATTAAAACTTCCATGTGGGTTTAAACACTCAGCACTAATCTTAGAGTTCACCTGCCATAATATTGCATAAAGCACTTTGAGACCCTTAACCAAATGAGAACATGCAAAGCCTTTGTTAATGTTCGTTTGGTTAAAGTACCCTCCTACTTATAGCAATATATCCCCTACACTATCTGACCATATCCTTCCGAATCTCAAAAGGGAACTTTGGGTCTTTGAAGTGGTGCCAGGCAGGCCTCCCTAACGACCAACAGACCGTTTCATGACTAAGCAAGAGAAGATCCATTTTGAACTTTGGCCTCTCTAGTATTTTTCAGCCTTCCTGGAGCAAGTCTATTCCCACTCCATGTCTCTGCTCTCCTTGTTAGACGGGCTGCTCATTTGCAGCGAGAGTTATGGGTGCCCTCAAATACTGAGCATCTTTTGCACTTTCATCAGTTCTAGGCAGAGCTCAGAGCTTTATGTAGGGAAAAGATGAACCAATGTGGTGACTCACTTGAGACCTTCCCTTTTCAGTTCAGTGGACACACGGAGGACTATAGCAGTGACTTCCAAAGTTCCAGTTTCGGTGGAGAATGCCTTTAATTTGATGGCAGACTGAATTTGCCTCTCGATTTCCTATCTTTGTTCATCAGGAATTCCGATGCTGAAGATCGTGTTCGCAGGCCATGAGCAGCTCTCGTTAATCTCCGTGCCTCTGCTCATCTACCACCCAGTTCAGATCCTTCTGGGGAGTGTGTTGGTGCCAACAATAAAGTCCTGGATGGTGTCAAGGCAGAAGGTGAGACTCTAGACAGGTCTTATTTGGATCCAAATCAGATTGAAGTAGCCATCACAAGGGTATCCATGATTGCTCTGCGAACAGTACTGATGGAGACCTGCGGCCACACCTAGTGCACAGCGGGGCTGTGAGTAGCGGGCCAGGCTGGGGGAGGTACAGTCTGCTGGCCAGTGAGGCGGGTGGGTGATCTGTTTGTCACCTGAGGTTTGGATTGGTGGTTATCTAATGCTATCCAGGTGGGCCTCTTCTCCCTTCTTGTGGCATCAATGATCTGGTGTTAACTGATGCGTTCTCTCGGCTCATGGATGTTGTCCAAGCCTGAACTGCATTTCTCCTTCCTTGCAGGGTGTGAAGTTGACGAGGCCAACAGTATAGCAGAGGAGGTGCTCATCCGCGGCGATGTACATATGTACAGGGCTGTACACAGTGAGACTCGTGTTGTGAATGTTGCTTCAATGCATATTTTATTTTTTTACACACAAAAAAAATGATATAACTGTTGAAGTGCCTTAAAAATGTATCTGACAAGAGCGTTATTTCCAAAACCGACTTTTTCGGTGACTGCCAGGGGTGGTGCAGTATCTTGGAGTTGTTTAATATTTCTCTTCCTACCGCAGGGAACAGTCATCGTATGTGACAAAAGCCCCACCTCTGTGCAATACAACTCTACTAGTTACTATACTGTTCTAAATGAGGTCATGGCATCAGAGAAATGCCCTCCGATGACAGTGAAAACTTCCAAAGTCTTATTCACAAATGCTTTTATTTACTGTGTGATTTTTTTTCTACAACTGTGACATGCCTCTTATCAACTCAGCAGGGGTCATAGACTGAGTAGATACTGAAAAGCATAAGTTATCTCCATTTCCTGACATTATTTTTTTAAGACATTCCTTCAAATAGTTTCAACACAGATTCCTTTCTTCCATGATCAGAGATTGTGATATTATATGTCTTAAATTTATTATAAGCTGCTTCAAAGAAAAGGCCTAATGTTTGACTTATGAGTCAATTAAGTGAGGTTTTGAGGTAAACTACAGGATTTGGTTTTCAGGATTTTTTAAATTATATTTTGTATGTTTTTCCTTTTTCTTCCATAATTTCCTTCCTGTTTTCCAACACACCCGCAAACTCATGACAGCCAAATGTGAGATACAAAATGTTATCATCAGTTTGAGAGCAGCAACAATGAATGATGGACTATATTCACATTCCACGATTAAGAAAAAAAAACTTTTTCCTGTTACACAGACGTGCTGAGCACAAATTGCCCCTTTTAGCAGAAACAGCCTGTTACATCCTGGATTAAGCACACTGAAGGCATTCGAGGCAAGTTGTGAATGAGAATTTCCTTGGCAGATTTGACAAATGATTGCAACTTTTTAAAATTAAATCATTGCTCTTTTGAATAAATAGAAATATAAAGGTCATTGATGCAAACAGATGTTACAGGTGCACCTTCTTTCTAGCCAAATGGAAGGGGAAAATGGGCACAGAAAATGCGGAACCACTCATTAACCAAAATATCAAGTAAAATTAGCTCCCAGTTGGGCTTCAGCTTCCAAGAGTAGTGAACATTTGCCTCTGCTGTGGCTGAAGAGCTTTCACTGGACCCAAGTAGAGAAAAAGCAATCTACAGAATCAAGGGGACACTTTTTCTCTTCCCACACACCGTTCTGTCACGTCCTCTCCACGTGTCCTTTCTTGATTTGACAGACGAGATTGACACCTGGGGTAACACTGAGGCCACACTCTGTCCCCGGCAGCTGTTGTTGTTTTGTCAACAAAAGAAAAATCATTCCTTAGAAGCCTACCAAGTTTATCAATAGTGTATATTTATATTCTTGTTACTACTGGTCTCATCGTGTGGTTCTTCTGACTCATTTGAACATCAGCGAATTTCATAAATTTCAGGAGAGTTAGCCTCAGTGTCAATTTTGAAGCTAGTTCCAGACCCTGCAAAAAAAAACACAAACAAAAAACTATGCTAAAGAGGCTGTTTGTCAAGAATTTTCGATGTGGAGACTTTTGCTTGTGTCTAAAACTACAGTAATTTTGCTTGATACTTTGGATGCTTACAAATGAAGCTCAGAAGGGTTTTCATGTTTTGTTCCTGTAAACTTCTTTGAATTTCGGAGTAAATGAAATTGTCTCTGTCTGTCTGTCTGAGTTATCATAAAAGCTAGCATTCAAATACTGATTTTTTCCCCCCAACTTATCTACCTCTCTTGTCAAACACCTATAGTAGGTGTGTGATTATGGGATAAAATTCAACTGAAAACATTATAACATCTTTTGCTTTGAAAAAATGTCTTTTGTTTTCATATAATCTTATTTACGTGGTGAATTTTGGTGGCTTTAGTGATATGTTTATGCCTTTTTTTTTTTACACAAATGCTGTTGCATATTTTTCCATAAAGAACAAAAAGCAAAATCAAAATTTATTTTAAATTCATGTTTATTGGGATTTAATTATTCATGTCTTAAAATACTTTATTATGTTTATGTACTGTCAAGCTATCTGTTTTATGTGTTTGTTTTGTCTAAATGTATTTATGAAAGAAATACATTAGATTATATTTATGTTTACCCATTTTTCCACCTGGATTTCTTTTAATGGCTGTTATGAAATTTGATTTTTTTTAGTGGGTGATAATATTAATCTATTCATATGTTCTTTTCTAAGTTTTAAAATTTTGTGGGTTTTTTTTTTTTTTTTAATTCTTTCCTATTCTGTTTGAAACTAACACACCTCTGGCTAATGTTCAGTGTTTGTATATGCTAAATACCAAATTTTTTCAAAAGGATTAGAAAAGTAACTAAGTGGATTATTTATGATGAATGGGAAATGAAAAGGATTCTATGATTAAACTAAGAGATGTTTCAGAAATCACAAGAGAACCTGTGTCTTATTTTTAACCTGATTTCGGATGCACTCACAATGCCTTCTGAGCATCTACAGATTTATCTTGATTCACCCAAATACTGTTGTATCATGTGTGGTTATGTGGACACAGCTCCACCGTCTCCCCAGGTATCCATCTCAGCACCTTCTCCACACCATAATTTAAAATTCAGAAACAGCCCTGGCTTTTTTTGCAGAGATATGTGTTCCCTGCATCAGGGTTGAGGACCACAAGAGAAGCATACCCGACATGAGTGACAGATTTTAGGTGATCTGGATGTTTGTCACCCTTGTCATTCTTTTGAGGGATAAAAAAGATGAAACCTTAGAATGTCTCTTAAACCCAGTGTTTCTTTATGATCAAGTTACTGTGTTTGAATTCCACACATACCTTCATGTCTTGTTTTGCTGTCTTGGCTTGGCAGTCCTCTCTTCCCCGTAGGGCTGATGAATGCATCACCACCCCACCAGGCCTTCCTGCTCCCCAAGCCAGCGCCAGGCTGCCTCCCTGCCATGTGCCCTTAGAAGGCGTCTCTCCAGTCTTCCAAACCTTTGCATTGTCTGATTGTTGTTACTTTACATCACTGTCTCCTCCAGCCTGGTCCTCATCTCTGTTTCCCTACTGGGCCTAACACGGTGCCTGGCTCAGAGTCGTAGCCAAAAAAAAATGTATATTGATTTTCCAAATTGTGATCTTAATAGCTAGGACATGAACCTTCAAAATTTCGAGAGCTCTTATTAGAGACATCTGAGTTACTGGTTTTGTTTCCTTTGTCTCTATGCCAAAAGTGAGCTTGCTGGATTATATGGGTGTTCTGTTTTTAATTTCATGAGGAACCCCCATACTGTTTTCCATTGTGGCTCTTTCTGCAGTTCTTAAGACCCTCCCCCAAAAAAGCCTTTAGTAAAAATCTGCTTTACACCAGAGCTTTCTCTTTATTTGGGGGGAAATAAAATAAAAGGCTCAACATCCACCGAGAGGTGATACAGGGGAGAGAAGATAAAGCAGTCCAGTAATAAAGATACCGAGTCTCACAAAATAAGTGGGAATTTTGTGCGTGAGATGATCAGAAGAATGGATGCCCCTGGGAATCTTGGCAAGAGAATGCTTCCCCCACAGAACATGGAATTCATTCTTTTTTTTTTTTTCTTTTTTTTAAAATATATCTTTATTGATTTCAGAGAGAGGGAAGGAGAGGGAGAGAGAGACAGAAACATCGATGATGAGAGAGTCATCGATCGGCTGCCTAGCCAGCAACCTGGGCATGTGCCCTGACCGGGAATCGAACCCCGATCGCCTGGATCCCAGGTCGATGCCTAACCGCTGAGCCACGCCCGGCCGGGCAGAATTCATTCTTAAACCGTTACATTCAAATGGAAGTTCATACGTACTCAGATAGGCTGGGGATTGCAACACTAGTAGCTAATACTCAGTGCTCTGTGGTGTAAACACGGCCACCTGGCGATTCCAAGCTTCGGACGTGCTTTTCCTCGCGGTGGTGTCAGGGAGGGATGCTCGGGACGGTCTGTCGTGGGATGAGCCTGCAGAGCCCAGCCTGCCTCGAGCTACAGGTCCTGCTAGGTTCTTCACCCAGATTTTACATTTGATTCTTTCAACAACCCTAGGAGGAGATGTACCATGATCACCCCCATTGTACAGATAAGGAAACAAAGGCCAGAAAGGTAAATAGTGAGTACAAACAAGCCTCCTAAGTGGTGGAGTTGGGATTTGAACTCAGATTTTCCTGATTCCGGAGCCCACACAGCTAACCACTAAGTAGACTCCTCCACCACCCGAAAGCCACGTGCTCCTTACAAGATCTTATGATCTCATGTTACAAAATTCTGGAAACTAGCAGTGATTCTAAACACTGAGTTCTGCAACCGAGGTTTTGATAAAGGATGCTGCTCTCTTTTTTATGTGGAACAAATCAAAAGCCCCCCCATCTCAGAGCTTCCAGACAATCGGAAGGAAGGGGCCCAGGGTTCCTAGCACACACCAGGCCTCAGAGCCCCTGCAGGAGAAGGCAGCACACTGAGGAACGGGTCCTGGCCTCGGCCCTGGGGTCCCGTCATTTCCCTGTGACTGGCCCGTCCAGACGTGAAGTCCTTGCAGCCGTGTCCGTTCGGGCTCGCTGCTCGAAGTCCCAGAGTCTGGGTCTACGTGTTGTCATGTGGAGTCCTGGGCTGACTTTTCCAACAACACCAGGACTCATCCTGTATTTTTTCACCATTAAGCCTTTACCATGACTTCCTGCCCTGGGACCCGCTGCGATTATCATCTGTGCGGTGCGTTGCGGCAGTGCCCCCCCCACGCGGTCCTCCAGCTCCAGACCTGAGAACCCCCGTGCGCGTGGAAATCGAGCAAAATACCATGTGTATAGCTCACTCCTCTGCTCACGAAGCCAAACTGAGAATTGTGTAGCATCGTAGGCTTGTCGTTAGGATTGAATGAGAGAATCCCTGCTAAGAGTTTGTCACAATGCCTAGCACTTGGTAATAACCCAATAAGTGGCAGCTCCTGTCACTGTTCAGCGCGGGTGGGAGCTGGGTAAACCCGGTTGGCGTGCAGTGCCGGAGACGGAGTCAGGCATCGGGCCCCATGCTGCACGCCTTCTAATCTATACAAAAGATCTATTAGAGTCCGTTAAATGTCATTAATCATGTCAGGAAGTGACCAGGGCACCAGTTTCTACTTCATCTGTTAATGAGGACGCCTGATCTTGAATTTTAAGATGGCTGCAGCAATCCCTGGCTTCCAGCTCCGATGGAAAGGCCCTCCCAGCCCCCCGTTGCTGCCTGGGCCTTGCCTTTTCCTGCCTGCTCCAAAGAACTCTACGCAAAATGTTTGCCCAACTCCCCTCAAAGCCCGAGTCCTGCTGAGAACCGCGATGATGCCGCTCACGGCCGCCCCATACTGATTCTGACTTACTGCCGCCTGCCCGGGATGAGTTCGGCTACGGGGCTGCTCTCAGGGCAGACACCCTGTGCCCCTGGCCCTGTCTGAGGGCCATTCCTTGAGCTCTGACTGTGTCCAGGCTGAAACGTCCCCTTTCCACTTCGAGTGCCACCGTGGCCCTGGACTGACTGGCTGGCCCCTTTACAGGCCCCGCTCTCCAATCATCTCTTTAGTGTTAACATTCCCAGGAAGCCTGGTCTTCAGTCTTTCTTCCCACCAGTGGTGGGAACTTCTGAGCCACTCCCACAGAGTCAGTCGCCTCCTGTAAACCAGCAAGGACTCCCAGATCTGTGGCCCTGAGCTCACGTTTCCAGTTGCATTTGGACATTCCTACCTGAGTATCCTCAAGGCCCCTCTAACTCCACATGCCCTAGAAGAAAAGTCAATAACCTCTTTTTTTCCCTGCACCCGGCCCTCCCCAAACCAGCTTCCTCTGTTGGCATAGCAACCTCCCCAAACCTGCTTCCTATGTTGCGATAGCAACCGGTCCTCCCCCTCAGCCTTCACAGCTCATTTTTGATGTTCAGTTAGCAAATGCTCTTGATTCTATTGGTAAAAACCTCTCCTTAATTCCTTCTTCATCCCACTGCCACTGTCTTAAAATGCCTTTTTTAGTGTTCCCCCCCCCGCGAAATGCCTTTCTTCAACCCAGGAAGCCCTCTGCTGACATTTATCAATCACCTGCCATATGCTGGGTGCTCTGCTAAATGCTTTCCGTGAATTATCCCACTTAGTCCTGTGACAATTTTGGACATTGGTATAATTACTCCCATTTTACAGATGAGAAGATGGAGCCTCCAAGAGACCAAGTTCCAGGTACCAGAGCTTATAAGTGGCAAAGTCTGGATTTCCTGACTGGGCCAGCACCTGGGCTTCCCTCCCCCTCTGCACTTCCAACTCTCAATTCTCAGGCTCCAGCCAGCCACAGCCCCCCACTTGTGAGACATAGTTTTCAGTTATATAATGAATATCTTCACTTGCTAATTTATCACTTATCGAGTTGTAGCAAGTTATCATTATCCACATGTTATCCCCCACCCCAAATAATCAATTTCTTCAGTGGAGACCTGTTTTGTTTATTTCTGTAACCCTGATAACTGTCAGAATGCTTGCCTGATAGTAGGAACCTCAATAAATGTTTATGGAGCAATCGGCTTGCATCTCTGGTTTTGGAGGACAGATGTCTTCAGATTATGAAACACCAGTTTTAGAAAGTGGCATGTGACTCAGTTATCATTCCGTGAATGGGAATCATCATATTAATCTACAGGTGCTTCTGAAAGGACTTTTTTTTTTTTTTAATGAAAACTATCAGTAAAAATAATGATGACAATTTTGACCTCAGAGTAGTCGAGTCCCAAAGCATCTAGACCTCAGTCCCCATCCAGACGCACATCCCCGTGTGGCCTTCACTTTGGGAGCCATCCCTTCAGCTGAAATGCTTGTGCATTTCAGGACCAGGCACCCAGCCTGAGAGGAACATGTGCCTTTTGGACCCAGGCTAGTCAAACAGGCCCTGCCTCTCTGCCCTTCATCTGCCTTCCATTTCCCATTCCCCCAGGACACAAATTCTGGCATAGTAACCAACCACTTACTACCAAATGCTAAGTTAGGATCCAACCGAAACTCAACTGGCTGAGAAGAACACGTGGGCAAATCCAAGACAGAATGCTGGGCAGGAGTAACGAGGCCCAGGCAGGCCGGTTATTGTAAAGAGAGCCCTACATCGGGGCCTTTTACCTCCGGGTCACTGGTGCAAATCCAGCCAGGCCTCGCCTGACAGAAAATCATTACGGGCTCTGTGTCAGGTTGCTTGAGAGATGGAAAATGAGTCTCTGTCTCCATCCAGCAGCCAAGTGTCCACATCACACTTGGCACTAAGCCGTTCTTGACTCCGTGGAGACAGAGTAGAAGTCACTGGACAGTTGCCCAGGTCCCGGGGTCGGGCCGAGCCTGCATGTCAGTGCTCTCTGCGTGGGGTCTGACAGCTCCTTCATCTCACCCTCTCAGCAGCACTTTATTAATCTGG